TGGGGCTGTTGGTTCTATTTTCTGAGCTTCCGAGGGTAATGAAACCACTTCTTTAGGCGTAGAAACAATGTCAACAGGATATGTGAAGTCGGCGATGAAGTCTGCCACTGCTTGGCCTTTCTCAGCTGGCTTTGGTTGGTAGGAGATGTCAAACTCACCCAATGCTATCGCCCATTTGATCATTCGCCCAGAAGTGTCAGGACTTTGGAGTATCTGTCGAAGAGGATGATTGGTAAGCACGATGATGGAGTGTGCTTGGAAGTAAGGGCGAAGTTTTCGAGCAGACATGACCAATGCTAGAGCCAATTTCTCAATGTTGGAGTATCGTGTCTCCGCATCTTGTAAGGCCTTGCTAGCGTAGTAAACAGGCCGTTCGACATTACCATCATTTCGAATGAGAACGGAACTTATTGCTGAAGCCGATACCGATAAGTAGATAATGAGAGTGTCACCAACCTCAGGTTTGGAGAGCAAATGGGCTTTACTCATGTAGTCTTTGAGGTTCTTGAATGCCTCAGCACATTCATCAGTCCATGTAATGTACTTCTTACTTCCCTTAAGTGCTTTGAAGAAATGAGCACATCTGTCTGTGGCCTTAGAGATGAACCTAGTTAAGGCTGCCACCTTGCCAGTAAGGCTCTGGATGTCTTTTGAAGTTACCGGTTCCTTCATGTCGAGGATTGCTTTGATCTTCTCGGGATTAGCCTCAATGCCTCGTTGGCTTATCATGAAGCCTAAGAATTTGCCAGAGCCTACGCCGAAGGCACATTTGTTGGGGTTCAACCTCATTCGATACCTCTTCAGAATGGTGAAAGTTTCAGATAGGTTGGTGATGTGTTGGTCAGCATGTTTGCTCTTGACTAGCATATCATCAACGTAAACTTCCATGCTCTTCCCAATCTGTTCGGTGAACATTGAATTGACCAGTCTCTGATAAGTTGCTCCTGCATTCTTTAGGCCGAAGGGCATGACTTTATAGCAATATAGTCCCTTGTCAGTAGTGAAGGTTGTGTGTTCTTAGTCTGGAGGGTTCATGAGGATTTGGTTATATCCTGAGTAAGCATCCATGAAGCTCAGAAGTTCACACCCTGCCGTATAGTCTATAAGTCTGTTTATGAGAGGAAAAGGAAAGCTATCCTTCGGGCATCCTTTGTTTAGGTCGGTGTAATCGACACACATTCTCCACAAGACCTTTTGGAGCAGGAGACTTTCCTTGTGCAGATTCTTCTTAACAAGGACAACATTTGCTACCCACGTTGGATAATTGACTTTGCGGACGAAGCCTATGCCTTTGAGTTTTTCAACTTCTGCCTTCATTGCCTTGTACCGTTCAACGTCATAAGATCTTCGCTTCTGTCTCACTAGCTTGGTCTTGGGGTCAATACTTAAGCGATGACAGATATCGGGAGAGATGTCTGGCATGTCCTCGTATGACCAGGCGAAGACCTAAGTGTTCTCTTGCAAAAAAAGAGATCAATGCCAACCGAATTGGTGGTGACAAGGTAGTGCCAATCTTCACCATGCGATCCAGATAATCTTTTGAGATAGAGACATTCTCCAACTCTTCAGCAGGTTGTGCTTGTTGGGTGAAAGAGTCATCTCGAAGATCGTCGGGTTGACTGTTGCCACCATGAAGATCCAAGTTGGCTTCGTCTGGGCTGGTCTTTATGACTTGGTCACGTATAGAAAGGGTTTCCTTGGGCACAGACATGTGCTGTTGCTTGATCGAAGTGTTGTAACATGATCGTGCACTAAGTTGATCTCCTCTGATGTAACCATTGCCATAGGGGGTTGGAAATTTCATCAACAACATATGTGTGGATACCATGGCCTTGAGATCATTGATGCCTGTGCGTCTGAAGATGACATTGTATGCCGTTGGGCAATCAACCACCAGGAAGTTAGTGGTAATGGTAGCTGTGTAAGGGCATGTACCAATGGTGAAAGGTAAGTGTATGCTCCCCAAAGGTTGCACGATATCACCGGAGAAGCTTATCAAAGGGGAAATCGAGCAATCGAGCAAGTGTTCAGCTACATTAAGTGCCCTGAAAGCTTCAGCAAACATGATATTGACTGAAGCCCCCGTGTCTACCAGGATTCGTCGTACTTCAAAGTTGGCTATGTGAGCTTCCACGATCAGTGGGTCGTTGTGAGGGTAAATGATACCTCTTTCTTCCTCAGGGTGGAAACATATTGGATCCCAGTTAGGCTTTTGATACTTACCTCCCCTGATGTCTTCCACGTGAAACACTTGGTGCCCAGACCTTAAAGCTCGTTCACTATTTTTCATGGCCCTGTTGGAAGATTTAGATATGGGTGTGCCACCACTTATGGAATATATCACATTCACCTGGCGTTGGTTACGGTTACCCCTTGGAGAGTGAATGAGGAATTGATCAATTTTTCCTTCACGTGCCAAAGCTTCAATATGATCACGAAGGGTGATACACTTCTCGCTGTCATGGCCGTTATGTTCGTGGTAGTAGTAAAACGTGTCCGTGTTCTTCGTGGGCTTGTAATCCGAATGCCTCGGCTTTGGCTTCGGTATCAAGTGTGCTATGTTGGGGTAAATGGCCACGCATGTGGCGTTCAAAGGTGTGTATGCCTTATACCTTGCGGTAGGGGCTGTCCTGAAACGTGCTTGACCCACTGTGTTGATTGCTTGTGGTCGGGGATTATCATGGTGATACCCTTGGTTATCGCAGTAGTGTCCCTTACTCCTTTTACTAAAATGAGACTGGTGAAGATGTATATCTTTCCTTTTGCCCTGAGATTGATATGTCTGTTAACTTGGCAAAGTATTAAGTAAGGTAGGGGGAGGCACTGCTGCCGTTTGGAAGGTCGAGGTCTTCTCATTTGGTTGGATCTGGCTTCCACTCCCTACTTGCTGATAAGGAGTGGTTGTGGGTGGTTTCCCTTGATATGTCCTTGCCTCGGCCGAGGCATGGTTGTAAGCATGTGCCATCACCTCAGAGTAAGTCTTCCAAGTGTTGGCATTGATCATGTACTTGAAGAAACAATCACGTAGGCCTGCCGTGAAGGCCTTGAGGGCGGTCTTGTCATCTGCCTCAGCGCAGCGAGAATACTCATGGCTGAAACGACCAACATACTCTCGTAGTGACTCGTCCAGCTTCTGGCGAATAGTGTACAAGTCATCTGCAGAATGCGAGCGATCGGTCTGGAATATGTGTTGAGAGACAAACAGGTTCCTCAGTTCCTCAAATGAGTCTACTGTCTCAGGTGGAAGAAGGTAATACCAATTTAGAGCTCCGCCAAAGAGGGTGGAGGGGAAGAGAAGACATCGCTCTTCGTCGGTGTGCATCCGATATGCCATGGTGGACTCAAAGAGGTTAAGGTGTTCAATTGGATCCTCCCTTCCAGTATAGAGTTGTAAACCAAGCTTTTGTTTTGTCTTCGCTTAAAGGGGGTGTCGTGGATCCTCCTTGTAAGAGGGCCAGGCCTGGGTTGGTTCCAGTCAGGTATCTCGGCCTGACGTTCGACCTTCAACTTGTTTACTTCCTCAATGAGCTGTAGGACAAGGGGGTCTTGAGTGGAGTCATGTACCACTGGGATTTTCTTTCGTAAGTCCCCATCGCCTTTTGGAAGTAGGAAAGTTTTAGCAAGGGCGTGTGATTTTTCCTTGGATTCGCCGTACTGACTTCTAGGGCGAGTTTGTCGGAATACCTCAAGGTCCCCTGTACCTTCATGTTCCTCTAGGACATGCCGTTCCTTCCCTAAATTGGCAGCTGGCCTGGGTCGTGGGAGGGGACTGAGTCTTTCATAAACCCTTGGGTCATTGATCTTCGAGCATATGTGGAGGGGATTCTCTCGACGTTGCTTTAGGAAGTCTCGGCAGTCACGATAAACGGCTTTCGATCCTTCCAACCCTTCTGTAAGGAGGTGTCTTCCTCAACTTCTCCTACTTCGGGTCGAAGCAGCTGGGTTGAGAGAAGTCTCATGTTGATCAATGTTTTGATGATTAGCTCGCTCCTCATCAGGGATACCCATGTCGAAGGAAGGTGACCCTCCGTGTTGGGGGGGCACCCAGATGATGGTTAATGTCCATAGGGGCAACAAGCTCGCGTGTTTGAGTACGCATAGTTTCATGGAGCGTCTCAAAGAGCTTCTCATACTGCTCTTGGAGGACCTCATTCTTCATTGCTATCTTGTTGTTTTAGCTTCTAGCTTATCGACTTTAGCTTGAAGAGCAACCCTTTTTCCTTCCTTCTTTCATTGCTTCGCACTAGGTGCAAGAGGAGTGTCATTCTGTGTGCTGTGGCTTCCTTCGCTACCCATGTTGGAGAGGGATGCCTGGTCAAAAGAGAGTGTACGAACGGTGGAAACCAGCTTGACAAAGCTGAAGAAAGTGGGAATAAGTGTTGTTCCCACAGATGGCGCCAAATGTTGATGCACAAAATCAGTGAAGACTTTGGTACAACAGAAAGTGTTAAGTTTGTTACCTTCGCTAGATTGCTCCGGTCACTAGTGTGGATAAGTATGTAAATGGATAGGGACAGGGAAGCAAACACAAGATGTACGTGGTTCACCCAGATTGGCTACGTCCACGGAGTAGAGGAGTTCTCATTAATTGTGAAGGGTTTACACAAGTACATAGGTTCAAGCTCTCCTTTAGTGAGTACGAGTGAATGATGTAGTACAAATGACATTAGGAAATATTGTGAGAGAATGATCTCTATTTATAGAAGAGAGTTTCTAGTTTCATTCTAACATTGACACGTGTCGTGTTGTGATTGGCTTCTGATGTTAACACGTGTCGCGCTATGATTGGCTTCTGATGTCGACACGTGTCATGCTATAATTGGCCTCCTGGTTGGAGGGAAACTCTTCTGGGTCCTTGACGGTATAACGTTGACCGGTGCTCAGTAATTTCGGGATTGGTCAAGTACGGTACAAACACACCTTAAAGCAAAAGGGAGAGAATGCTAGCGTCGGAACAAGAACGGCAACTAGCTTCACTTCCATAGCAACAGTACACACTTTTAGAAACCAGCAGGAACCCCACCTTTTCTTGGAACGCTCACTGCCACAATCTCCAGAACGCATCCATTATCCTTCAAAGCCCTTATATCTTGAACTATAAACTGGCAAATAGCCCCAGAAGGAGAGGGCTCTAGGACATGGCCCTTCTTTTGTAAGACTCTCCTAATTTGAGCAGGAACTTCGAAGTGATCGCCAGTCACGGACGTCCAGTTCTTATAATGAACCGCATTAGGTAATAGCTGCTTATGCAGAAATTCTTCTTATCGGTAGGTTTAATTGATAACTAAATTGAAATTATGACTCTATTTGAATAAGGAAACCTCTCTTTTAGTCAAACAAAAGACAGCTCAAGTAAGAAAAAAGATAGAGAAAAGTTACATGGGAACCTGATGATAGACCCTTGGAGCTATAAAAGTAGGTATATTTCATTGATTTATTTATTGGTACAGGTCTGTGATTATATACACTTTGAATACAATCCTAATATGGTAAATACAATCATACTTGAATGACTGAATCAATCCTAATCAAATAGAATAGGAAAGACAGCATAGCATATATCATAGTTGACTTTCATACGGTTGATGGAGCAGATTGTGTTGTTGACGAACTGATCTCCTTTGATGTAGGAGATTCCTTAACACGCCCTCGCAAGACGGTGGCACCATCGGAGACACCGATCTTGGAACGAAGTAGATGGAAACGAGGACGTGGCAAGGGTTTGGTGAGAGCGTCAGCAAGCTGATCAGTAGTGGAGACATGAGACACTTGAAGAAGACCACGAGTGACGCGATCCTGTACAAACTGAAAATCAATATCGATATGTTTCATACGGGAATGTAGGACAGGATTAGCACAATAGAACATGGCTCCAATGTTATCACAAGAAACAACAGGTGTTGCGGGGAGAGAAACGCCAAGTTCACGCAGTAAGGACTGAATCCATATGAGTTCAGCAGTGGTGGCAGCAATGGCCCGATATTCGGCTTCGGTGGAGGAGCGAGAGACAGACCGCTGCTTACGGGAGCTCCAAGAGATGAGATTTCCACCAAGATAGACAACATAGCCAGTCGTAGACTTGCGATCATCACGGTCACCAGCCCAGTCAGCATCGGAAAAGGCATAGAGACGATGAGAGGGGCGACGACAAAGATGAAGGCCAAAGGAGATGGTACCCTTCAAGTAGCGAAGAAGACGCTTGAGTGCTTGCCAGTGAGTCTCGGAAGGAGAATGCATGAATTGAGAGAGCTTATTGACTGCGAAGGAGATGTCAGGACGTGTAAGGCTGAGGTATTGAAAACCACCAACAAGACGACGGTAGGGAGTGGCATCCGTTAAGGATGAGCCATCATGGAGCATGAGTGAGTGAGTGGTGGAGAGAGGCGTACTGACAGCCTTGGCACCATCCATCTTTGCTATGACGAGAAGATCATGAATGTACTTGTGCTGAGAGAGGAAAAGACCAGTGGCGGTGGGAAGAACCTCAACACCAAGAAAGTAATGTAAGGAGCCCAGGTCTTTGACGGAGAACCGAGTTGCCAATAGTTGGATGAACTTTGCTACAAGTGAGGAATCATTGCCTGTAATAAGAAGATCATCAACATAAACCAAAAAATAAATTACAGCAGTCCCATTTTTCAAGAGAAAGAGTGAGGCATCAGAGATGGCATTGACAAAGCCATGGGAGAGCAGAAATGAGTGTAATTCCTTGTACCATGCCCGGGGAGCCTGTTTGAGGCCATAGAGGGCTTTCCTCAATTTACACACATGAGATGGATGATTAGAGTCAACAAAACCAGGCGGTTGGACCATATAGACATTTTCACGGATGGTGCCATGAAGGAAAGCATTGTTAACGTCCAACTGACGAATGGGCCACCCATGAGTCACGGCAAGATGCAAAACAATGCGTATGGTAGTAGGTTTGACCACCGGACTGAAAGTATCGGAAAAATCAACACCAGGGCGTTGGTGAAAACCCTTGGCAACTAAGCGTGCCTTGTACCTGTCAATAGTGCCATCAGGATGCCGTTTGATACAAAACACCCACTTACAACCAATAAGATTGTGAAAGGGGAGGGAGGGAACGAGCTCCCATGTACCATTGCGAATTAACGCATTGAACTCATTGGACATTGCATGCCGCCAAAGGGGATCCTTGACAGCCTGGGAAACACATGTCGGTTCAACTGAGGAGAGAATGGGATGTTTAGTAGCAGTCATAGCATACCGAGGATTGGGTTTATGGATACCGGATTTGGCACGGCTGATCATGGAATGATCGGGGAGCACAGGAGGTACGGGGGGGTTGGGGGGGTGTGGGTCAGATGATGGAAAGGTGACAACAGTCCTATGAGGGTTTCTAGTGTATGTACGAACGGGGTTGAGAGGAGGAGGAGGCTGGACGTGGTCAGTTTGGGCTGGAAAATGTGGTGGGGGGAATAGAGGTGTGGTAGAGGTAGGGGCCAAGGCTTGGTGGTTGGGTGACGGTAAGAGATGAGTGGTAGCAGCAGTAATAGGGGCCAGGGCAGCAGATGGGGACGGTTCTGAGACAGTGGCAGATTCTGATGATGATGATGTGACATGTGGTGGCAGCGAAGAAGAAACAACCGACTCAACAGGCCTGGGGGGGGAAGTGAATAGGAATATGAGTAACTGGAGAAAGAGAGGAGACCCAAGTGTGAGAGTTATCAACAGTGACATGGGGAATGGAGGAAGGGAGGTTGGCAAAAGGAAAAGTGGACTCATCGAATTGAACATGCCGAGAGATAAAAAGTTTTTTGGAGGAAAGATCAAGACACTGAAAAGCACTTTGATTAGATGAGTAACCAAGGAAGAGACATGGGCGGGAACGAGGGAGTAATTTATTGGAATTGTAAGGACGTAACCAAGGAAAACACAAGCACCCAAATGTACGAAGACGGGAGTAATTGGGTTGTTCATCAAAGAGTTGAGTGAATGGGGAGAGATTATGAAGAAGCGGAGTAGGCATGCGGTTGATAAGATAGGCAGCTGTTTTAAAGGCATAAGACCAATAGGTGAGAGGTAAAGAAGCTTGATGAAGAAGGGTGAGACCAGTTTCAACAATATGACGATGTCGTCGTTCGGCGACTCCATTGTGTTGAGGAGTGTGAGGTGGTGTAAGAAGATGGGTGATGCCATTTGATGAGAGAAAATGTTAGAGTTTGATGAATTCGCCCCACCATCAGTGTATAATCTAGTGATTTTTCTTTTGAAGTAATTTTCAACAATTGCTTTGAAGGTGACAAAAGTGGAAAACACATCAGATTTCTTTTTTGAGAGGGTAGAGCCATATGTATTTTGTAAAATGGTCAACGAAGATAACATAGTAGGAAAAACCATCAATAGAAGAGTACGGAGCAGGGCCCCAAACATCACTATAAAGGAGATCCAAAGGACCATGACTGGTGAGAGACGAAGTACCAAACGGGAGCCTATGGCTTTTATTACATAGACAGGAATGACAAACAGACTTGAACAACTTGGAAGACACATTAATGGAAGACATACGAAGGACTTGTTGGAGAGTTTTGTGGCAGGGATGACCAAGACGACGATGCCAAAGGTTGGGAGAGACCACCACACCCACCATAGCTTGTGGTTGACAAAAGGATTTGGGAGACCACTCGTACACATCATCCTTACTCGGGCCTCGAAGAAGAACCGCCCCCGTGCTCAGATCCTTGACATGAAAGAAATCAGGAAAAAGTTCAATAGAGGTATTATTTTGTTTATTAAATTTAGAGATAGAAATAATGTCTTTTTGCATAGAAGGAACACACAGAACATTTGATAAGTTGAAAGATTGGGAGGATGAGGAGGGTAAGGTGGTTGAACCGACATGAGTGATACCCAAACCTGAACCATTACCAATAATTATTTCATCAAGACCATCATAGGTAGAGGCACCAGAAAGAGTGTTGACATTGGAGGTAACATGGTGAGAGGCACCGGAATCAAGTAACCATGTTGGAGAAGAGGTGGACCGGCCATGGATGGTAGGATTTGCCACTGGCGGACTGTGAGATCCAGATTGGAGTTGAGGGCAGCGTTTGTTACTATGACCTTGAGTGCCACACCATTGACAGAAACCACGATAACCTGTGTTGTTCATGTTGGTAGAGCGGCGACCATTGTCGGTGAAAGATTGTTGGGGGGGCTTGTAGGAAGTACGAGAATTGGTGTCAATGGAAGATGTGTGGGGGTGCCCGAAGGAACCACAAGAAGGATTGCGAAAGGCAAAGGACCCACGGTTGGAGTTGGAGTTGTGAGAGCGGTAGCCACGGGTTGAGGTGTGGGAGCGAGATGTCTGAGTGACATTGGCAGTGATCACTGGGGCTGTAACAACGGTATCATCACGCTTGAGAGCAGCTTCATGTTCAACCAGTTTGTCATGCAGGTTTTCAAAAGAGATTGAGGTGTCGCGGGAACGAACGACCGCAACAATTTCCTTGAAGTCAGAGCCAACACCATTAAGAATGTAGAGGAGGAGATCGTCATCAGAGAGAGGGACATCAATGATGGCGAGCTCATCTGCAATAACACGGACTTCTTGCAGATACTCAGAGACAGGCTTGTTCTCACGGCGTAGGAGAGTAAGGCGTTCTTTGAGACCAAGAACGCGGGCACGGGCTTTGCTAGCAAAGAGATGGAGAAGTTTATCCCAAGCCTCCTTGGATGTCTTGGCAGAGGCAATAAGGGAGATAACCTGCGGTGATACGGAAGCAAGAATCGCATGAAGGAGGAGTTGATCTTGCCGAATCCAAAAGGTGCGAAGCACGGTTTGAGCGGTTGATGGGCAGGGATTAGATCCATCCACATAACCCATGAGGTCATAGCCGTAAAGGAGGGCGTTGAACTGAGCACGCCAGGATGGGTAATTGGTGGGTGTGAGTTTCACAGGTAGTTGGGCTGTAGCGTTGATTGTGATCAAGGTGGGAGTAGTGGAGTTGAGCTCTGGTAGAGGGTTGGTTGTAGAGGCGTCAGTGGCCATGGATGAAGACAGGGAAGAGAGGGATCAGAAAAAAAAATTGCTCGTTGGAGTTTTTGGGCTCGTGATACCATATAAGAGTAGGTATATTTCATTGATTTATTTATTGGTACAGGTCTGTGATTATATACACTTTGAATACAATCCTAATATGGTAAATACAATCATACTTGAATGACTGAATCAATCCTAATCAAATAGAATAGGAAAGACAGCATAGCATATATCATAGTTGACTTTCATACGGTTGATGGAGCAGATTGTGTTGTTGACGAACTGATCTCCTTTGATGTAGGAGATTCCTTAACAGGAGCCATGACAGAAGAGAGTGGATCCATTCCCCTAGCAAAATGGTTTACGAGAACCTCTGCAGTCGCAGGAATGATCAAGGCTCCCATACTTGCGCCCACGACAGCTTTTAGTTGGCCATCCTGTCACGCATATAAACAAGACATTGAATGTAGGTTTGAAATAATACGACCACTGTAGTACGATAATTTATGTCACTCTCTACAACTCATTTCCTGATGGACTTTAACTAGAGAAAAGTATATGTGTAATTGATAAATCTGATCTAGTAGTGTGAAACGCTTTATTCCAACTTAACAAGAGAGTTATCCTAGAAGCATTCCCAACCATTAATCCGCTAGCACATGATCAATCTAATTGTATGCCAAAAAACAAATTTTTCATTGATATTTCCGTTGCCTTCATATATATAGTTCTCGTATCTTTCTCTGTCTTTCTCTCCCATCTACTATTTCTCTCTCTAATAATTTCTCCATATTGGTTACGCATTACCTTTAGGATTATAGCTGGTGTCATGGGCGATAATGGCCTTTTTCCTGGCCTGATAAAATTGGGTGGTGCTGGTGGTAGACCTGTAGAATCATTTCCAGGTATAGAGAAGTCGTCCATTTCATTGTTTAAGACAATCCCTGTACTCGACGACAATACATTAGCACCAAAGTATCCATTCACAGTACCAGTCATGGAGATGGCATTTCCTTGAGGATCTATGACAGACAAATGACTGGTGCCATGGTCATTGATTTGCCTCCACCTGTTAGGAAACGAGTCGTTATAATGACAACTATTGGTTGAGGAGTATATGTAATAATAGGATATCTACGAACAGTACAACCAAAGATATGAGACTGGGAGCAAGTTACACAGCGCATTATAGTTTTTAGGCGGTTTTTCTATAAACATAGACTAAAATCCCATACATTTCAAACAAAACTTCTTTTAGAAATGTTAAATTATTTTTAACTGCCAATATAAATGCAATAATACAGATGATAATCAATTTAGTGATCTTCTCAACACAAAATTGCAGTAATTTGTAAACGTCGTTGTATGGATGTATATTCTAATTTTGTCAACTTGAATTTGGCTACCAATAAAATAACAAGTAGTTATCTGAATGTATAATCTAATGGATAATTAACTTCTTGCCAATCAAATAACTTACCTGCCACCGTAATGGCTGGGATCAAAAGTCATGTTGTCATATATACTTTTCTTTAACTCCTCAGCAAACTCAGGAGAAAGCATATCGGCTAGAACTCGTCACATTTACAAACTCAGGGTCACCAAGATTCATCCTCACGGCGAAAGCATGTTTCAAAGATTCAATTTCCCAATGAGTCCAAAGAGGATCAGAAACTCCAGAAGCATTTCCATATTGTGAAAGAATGTTTAGCATCTGAGAGTGGAATTTACCAGGATAGTTCATATTAAACTTATTAGAAGCTTCAAAAGAGACAACAAAAGAAACACAAATAATTGCGTAACACTAGATTAAGAACAAAGCTTTACTCACAAGTATCATCGGAGGACCTCCAGAAGGAGGAGGCATAGTCAATATTTTAAGCCCTAATGTGTCAGCAGATACAGGCTTCCTCAGCTTAACTTTATAATTTTGCAAATCCTTCATTGTTCGTATTCCTCCAAGCTTTTGAATATCTCTGACCAATTTCGATCCAATTGATCCATTATAGAAGGCTATGGGACCAAACTTCGAAATTTGACTGAGTGTCTCTGCCAGTTTCATGTTACAGCATGTCTCACCTGTCTTCAAAAGACTCCCGTTTAATGTAAATGGATGACGAAGTCCCTCATCTGCCAAGATTCCTGATATCATCTTAACCATTTGCATGTGGAGGTATGGTGAAATCTTAAATCCCAAACGTGCAAGACGCTCAGCAGGTTTTACAAGTCTTTCCCACGGAAGCCTTCCATGTTGTTTTCATGAAGACCTGCCAGTTCCCCTGGAATTGCTACAGAGAGAGCGCCTTTACCTTTCAGAGTTTCATTGCCAGCATACATATTCTGAAAATAGAAAATTTTGACACAAATTCAAGGTACGTATATAGATACTGTTTGTGTAATTCCTATCTAAAAAAGATAAAGGCAAATTACCCACATGTGTTCATAGTTGCAAAGACTTGAAACGAAATTATTGAAAAATAGCGAGCATGTTGTTATTCCAAGTCCTATTATTTGAGAGGAGTGGATTGTTGAACGCTGCGTATGCTCTAAGCTATTCAAAATCTAAGAGAAGAACTTACTCATACAATAACGAATCGTTGAATCAAAGAACATATCATTAGTATCAATTCAGCAAAGTTGTTTTTTGACTTCCATTGCCTGCCAAGAATCCTAGTGGAAAGAAAACCTTCTAGCCAATTAACGATCATTCTAATCTCTGATGACCATAAAATAAATTTTTACAATGAAAAGTGAAATTTCACATTTTCTGAGGTAAACAAAAATGCAGATGGTTTTTTTTTTCATCAATAAAATGTAATTATCAAAACAGCTAAAAATGTGATGTTCCTCATCAGAATGTTTCACGTGATGGTGATTGTTTGCACTCAAGTGAAAATCAATTGAGAAAAGGAGTTCAGTAAAGCATGTAGAATACGAACCTCGGAAGCAAGTAAGGGTGCAGTTTCTCTCATATCAAAGGCATGTGCTTCCCCACTGGCTAGCCTTATAAACATGAAGGCTCCGCCTCCAAGCCCACTTGATGCTGGATTCACAACCCCTAAGCGAAGAACAGCGGCTACTGATGCATCAACGGCATTGCCACCTTCACGAAGCACATTTATCCCAATTCTAGAACATCGAAGATCATGTGGCAACAGCAGCATGGCGCACTGAAATTACCTCTCGCTTACTTTTGGTGGAACCACTCATAGCATTAAGGCTTGAAAGGAATACAAGTACAATGGTGAACAACAACGACGGTAACGGATCTGCAAGCGAAAGCATAGAATTTTGTTGAGCGTTCCTCATCATACAAATCAACAAAGAAGTCTTAACCCTCAAGTCTCAACCAAATGAAATTAAACTACTAGCAACAGGAGCAGCAGAAACACATGTTTACTATTTTCGTCGTAAATTCAATAGTAGTTAAAGGTTCACTTCACACTTTTGAATCTTATTAGGGTGACTTATTTTAGATTACAGGTCGAGTTTCCAAATTTGGACCTAATGACTAATAATAGTCAACTATATAGACTTGGGTGAAAAAAAGCTTAAACATAAAAATGGTCCTGTGTTTTACATTATTGGTTAATTTGGTCAAATTGGTCTCCGTATTTACCTCTGTTAGCCAATCCGTTAAAATAACCTTAAAATTGACATGTCTTGTGTGGGTTTAATGAGTTTACAATGAAGTTACATTTCTACCATCTCACGTGCAAGACACATCTCAATTTTAACGTATTATCTAGAATTAGCTAACGAAAGTGTTGATGCACAAAACCGGAGGGGTCTTGGAACAACGTAAATTCGACCGTGAATCTGCAAGAAAGTAAATAACACAAGATGTATCGTGGTTCACCCCAATGTTTAGGCTACGTCCACACTGATATTTTATTTCTCTGAGAGGATTGTGAGGATGAAAGGGTGAGAGCCTCTGAGGGTGAGAGTGAGGATTCTCATGGCTTAAGAATTGGCCTCCTTTAATGAGGAGAGTGAGGGGTCCTTTTATAGAATAAGGGATCCTCACTTATTACATATTTGCCCTTCATTTATTACATAATTACATTTGAGTCCCCCGAGTATTTATACGAGATCTAAATACGGAGGCCCTAAGTATGGTACAAACAGTAGTCCTCCAAGTTTTCAGTCAAGATAATCTTTTGGCTGGAGACTTGAAATTCAGTCCATGTGTGGGCCGAAGTAACTAGATGTCGTCTGGAACTGATACTCGATATGAGGTGGTGCCCAAAGTGAAATGATGCTCAACTAGAAGTAGCACATGTTGCGAGGCTGCTCAGCTTATGGCTTATGTTGCTTTGGTTGGCTCGGCTTATGGCGTTGAAGGTGAGGGAGTCCCTTTTATAGAATAAGGACTCGCTCCTCAATACACAAGTGATGGGCTAAGAGTGATGCTTGTGGCGAGTCGGTTGCTCAACTGGCGGTGATGCTTTCTAATGAAGGTGAGGGAGTGCCTTTTATAAAATAAAGGCTTGTTCCTCAGTACATGAATAATGGGTTAGGAGTGATGCTCGCGGCGAGGCGGTTGCTCAGCTGGCGACGATGCTCTCTAATAAAGGTGAAGGAGTTCCTTTTATAAAATAAGGGTTCGCTCCTCAGTACATGAATAATGGATGCTCTCTAATGAAAGTGAGGGTGTCCTTTTTATAGAATAAGGGCTCGCTCCTCAATACATAAATAATGGGCTAAGTCCCCCAAGTATTTTTCATGACGCCCAATATATGGTACATAGTGTAGTCCTTCAAGTCTTCAATCAATAGAGGTTGTTGGTTGGAGACTTCAAATTCAATCCATGTATGGGCCGAAGTGGCGGTTGTTCGGAGGAGGTATTTGTATACCCTGCACTGAAGCTTTGCAAGTGAAACTTTGAAGTTTGAGTTTTTGTAAATGAAGCTTTTGAAGTTAGAGCTCTCGAAGTTTGAGCTCTGTAAATGAAGCTTTCGAAGTTGATTAACATGAGTGATGCTCATAAATGTTTATGTTGATTGACATGAGTGATGTTCATGGATGTTGGCATGAGTGATGCTCATGGATGTTGACATGAGTTATGCTCATGAATGTTGACATGAATGATGGTCATGAATGTGTATGTATGATTGACATGAATGATGCTCATGTATAATTTTGGAGTACTGGACGTACTTTTGATCACCTAATAGCGGCAGGCTGCCGAATAATTTTGGAGTACTAGGCGTACTTTTGATCACCTGGTTGGTGATAATAACGATAGGCTGCAGAATAATTTTGGAGTACTGGGCGTACTTTTGATCGCCTAGTTGGTGATAATAGCGGCATGGTGCCGAATAATTTTGGAGTACTGAGCGTACTTTTGATCACTTGGTTTGTGATAATAGCGGCAGGCTGCCGAATAATTTTGGAGTACTGTACGTACTTTTAATCACCTGGTTGATGATAAGCAAGTGGATGTCCGGTCAGACAAGAGATCACCATGAGCGCGAGGCTTATCAGTCTATAAGTTGGTAGACTTGTTTAATCAGCAACAATGTTGATCAGTGGATCTAGTTGCTCAATAATTCCTGACAATAAATGACAGTATAAGTATGACCATATAATGAATAAATCAAATTGACAAAGTTTGTCAAGGCAAAAATATTGTACTGTGTGCCTTCTGTGAATAAATGATTTATTCTGTTGTGTGATAAATGACATGTTGCATAAATCAACAATATATATTAGGTATTGCCTAAATGTGTGTGTGTGTGTATATATATGTGTATATATATATATATATATATATATATATATATAATCATGAATAAATGATTTATTCAGTTGTTTGATAAATCACATATTGTATAAGTGACATAGTTTAAAGGCAGTCATAATATTCTAGGCCATAAGTAAATATTGCACATGTACTTAGGTTAAATATGTGTCACTAGGTGATGAATAATATATATATATATATATATATTTATATATATATTATATTTTTATTCAAGTTGTTGATATCCAATTTGGTTAGACTTGTCACATGTTATAGGAGATAGTCATGTGATAAACCATTAATAAGATACAAAGACTAATGATATTACAACAGAATTAAGCAGCACGTGTGTTGATGCACAAAATCAGCGAGGACTTTGGTACAACAGAAAGTATCAAGTTTGTGACCTTCGCTAAATTGCTCCGGTCACTAGTGTAGATAAGTATGCAAATGGATAGAGATAAGGAAGCAAACACAAGACGTACATGGTTCACCCAGATTGGCTGCGTCCACGGAGTAAAAGAGTTCTCATTAATTGTGAAGGGTTTATACAAGTACATAGGTTCAAGCTCTCCTTTAGTGAGTACTAGTGAATGATTTAGTACAAATGACATTAAGAAATATTGTGAGAGAATTATCTCTATTTATAGAAGAGAGTTTCTAGTTTTATTCTGACATTGACACGTGTCGTGTTGTGATTGGCTTCTGATGTTGACACGTGTCGCGCTATGATTGGCTTCTAATGTCAACACGTGTCGCGCTGTGATTGGCCTCTTGGTTGGAGGGAAACTCTTCTGGGTCCTTGATGGTATAACGTTGACCGGTGCTCAGTAGTTTCGGGATTGGTCAAGTATGGTACAAACAGTGCTCCCCTAAGTTCCCGAGTGAGGGAAGCTCCTCGGTTCAGGACTTGCAAGATCCAAGCCATTAAGTAATCAAGAAACTTCTAAGTACCAAAGTGTGGTATCAGTTTCACTTGCCTTATCTGTCTCATATGTAGATGTGACATCTTCTCTGGAAGTACTTTTCCTCCATCCAGGGGTGGTATCCTTAACCGATGAAGATGCACAAGGTAATGTATCAATTTCACTTGGAGCTTACTTGTAGTTTCGGGCTTGGTCAAGTGTGATACAAACCCTATAGTAGGAGTCCCCCAAGTCGCCGAGCTAGGAGATTTGCCGAATGAGGTAACAGACAAGGTAAGCAATCAGACTTCCAAGCAAGCAACCTAGATCGGAGGTTCGACTTCAGCTTCCGGTTGATTGTTCTTCTTCTCCTTGTGTCATAAACAGCAACAAGGATAAAGAGAAGCAAATGGAAAAGAGATGATATGAGATACTTTTGCTTTTGAAGAAGTAACTTTCCACAAGCTCATTCTTGAACTGGGCTGGAGGGTTTTCTAGTTTCCTCCAGAATATAAGGCCGACTCAAGAATTTGAGGGTCAAAACAAGTCCATCAAATCTAGAGTACGTTCAACCTTGATGATATGTGATACTTTTGCTGTTGACAAAGTAGTGGATGTATCGGCAGGTATATTGTTACGCTTGTCTCCACATGCTTCCTTGTATCTTTCTCACTTGCCCTATCTGTTCCTCAGGCAGATGTGGTATCTTCTCTGAAAGCATAAGATGTTGAAGATGAGTACTTGAGAGCAATGCTAGGTAAGTAATCAGGCAAGGGGTTCCAGGCAGTCAGTTCCTGACTGGAAGCTTGATTCCAAGTGCTGATTGATTGCTCTTTTTCTCCTTGTCTTGCAAGTAAGAACAAGGCCAAAGGAAAAGACAGGGAAAAAGTATGATATGGGATACTCTTGTTTTTAACCTTGATAATATGAGATACTCTTGCTCTGGTGTAGCTTGTTTGCAGAGGTATTATCGGGAAGAAAATAAGCTGAGTATTTCGAGAGACTCTGCTGAAAGTGCCCTCTCGGATGTGAAGAAAAGTTGAGCATTTTTTTTTATTTGCAGGTCTGCCTGGCTATGGAGGATGGAGGTCGACATATATAGGAATCTCCCTAACAACAAGTAGTAGTGTCATTCCTTTACCCTTCTTAGTCATAGCAATGTAGTGGGACATGCAAGCTTCATGTGTTTTAACTTTGTCAGAGCACTTTGAAAAAATGGTTTGTGGTATCTGGAAAGCTGATATTGCGTGTGAAGATTGCAAACAAGCTTTATCCAAGGAAATCTGGCTCTCGAAGTTCGGAAAGAGATGCCTCTTTGGTTTTCGAACAACCAATCCTGTCGGGGATCTGGCTCTCGAGATTCAGAGAACGGTGCCTCTTCGATTTTTTAGAAGGCAATCCTGTTGGGAGTCTGACTCTTCAGATTCGGAGAGCAGTGCCTCTTCGATTTGTGAGAAAGTAATCCTGTTAAGAGTCTAGCTCTCGAGATTCGAAGGGTGGTGCCTCTTCAATT